TTGCGATTGATCAGGCACCCTGAGCCTGTCTGTGTGCCTGACAGGAAGTGGCGAGAATAGGGTTATTTCGCCATCCACCCTCCTGACCGCAGTTGATGACTGGGTCTAGGGTGGCGAAATTTACCCTAATCCAGTGATTACTGGGTGGCGGCTTCAAYCCCAGCAGAGCGCTGAGGGARGATTGATCGTAGGATCCCCTCCTGCTAAATTAACCCTACCCAGGGCTAAATTTAGCACCAGCGGCTCATACCCTGCAGTGGCGAGATATCTTCAGGAGAGTTTTCTCTCGCCACTGGGGCAGATTCAGTGTATCCGAGAGTTGGGGGTGAATCGCCTCATCATACGAGCAGATCAACAAGTTTCAGGAGATTCTGTACGTGGGAAGCTCTGGAAGACTGTCTGCAAGTACTGGCGAGACCAGGGTTTGGCAGCCATAGCCCAAAGCTTCATCACCCACTGAGGATTGTACTTCAAGTGAGTTCGTTCCACATGAGTCCCTGAGTAGCAATTAGTATAGAATTAGTGAAAATAGGATTGATGGTCTGTCTGTCAGTACTGCAACAATCGTGAAATTGTCAGACTGCAGGACAGCCATATCCATCTTCTTCCTCCCTACCCTGACTCATATCTCTTCATCTATTGACCTGTTCTGACTCCAAATTGTTCTGGGACTGCTTTACAGTATTGCGCTGCATCCTGTATGCTCATTTTGTGAATTCTGTACTGAAAAGACAGTGATACTGTGGATTTGAGTTTTGCGCTGGGTCTATTTATAGTCTAGGCTACCTAGGGTCAGTCACAACTCAAAATCTGACCGTCAGAATTCAAGTCTGTCAGTCTGGGGTGAATCGCAATTCTATTTTTAGAAACCCTGCTAAAGCGCTAGTCCAAAAACATTGTATTTGGGTCATTACAGTACATTCCTGAAATTCGCCATATCTGGGGTAATTTTTGTTGATGTCAACACTGGCGAAATTTGAGTCTGGGGTTGTCAGGGAGTAGTCTACTAAATCGCTACTACCTGTTGCTGTGTTTCAGTCAATTCTTGCCTACCCTTATCAATACTACTAATCTACTCTGCTTTCTGATGGGCTCTGGAATCCTAGTGACCCCGGGAATGTTGTGAAACTGCATGTTGCAACTTTAGTAAAAGTTCAGTGTCAGGTATAGGAAATCGTTAGAGAATGGTTTTACTGGACATCCTGTCAACCTGATTATTGACCCCAGTGGTCCTGTTCCAACCCTAACTGCTTGTGCCCACTAACCCACATTGCTCTGTGAATTGACAGTGCAGCGAAATTTGAGTGTCTGTGTGATCTGTAAATCGCTGCACCCCCTGCTGTTTCATTTTTGTTTTATTGTTGTCCGTGAGGGAAAATGTCTGACGCAGCTAACACAGGTGCAGGGAAGGTTGAGGTCGTGATTAAGGCTGAAGGGGAACCCTCAGCCACAACACCGCCTCCCCCTCCTCTGACCCCTGCGCAGCGGCGCAAGAGAGAGATTCAGGAAAAACTGCGAGAGCAACAGGCGCTGCTCGCAGAAGCAGAGAGGCAAGAGGCTGCAGAGCTGGAAGCTGCAACAGATGCTTCCAGAAAAGAGCACCTGCTGCAGCAGGCTCAGAAGACTTTTGCGGATGCTAGAGTGGCCCAGTGTACCAGGGACCTGGCTGAGCTGGTATTGTTACAAGAAAAGCTTACAGCCAGCCATTTCACAAACTGGGACGAAAGGATCCAGAGGTTGGAGACCAGAGTGTCTGATCTGGGAACTCAGCAGTCTAAGGTCCTGGATGCCATCCAGAATCTGACTGCTCAGTTAACAGCAGCCAACCTGATCTCTCCTTTGGTCCCTGTGGGCCCCTCTCCAAAACCCCCAAAGCCTTCTCAACCTTCCTCTTCACCTCCTTCTTCTCCTCACTCTTCTCGTAAGACCTCTCCCTCTGTCTCCTCCCAGGCCAAAGCCACACCTCCTCCCACCTTTGCTGCTGTTGTTGCTGGGGACCACAGAGGTCCCAAGATCTCTGCCCCCAGCAAATTCAAGGGGGATGACCCCAAGATTGATGTGGGGGACTGGACAGCTGGAACCCGGGCCTATCTGAAGGGGTTCCAGTGCCCAGAGCAGCAAAAGGTGGCTACTGTTGTGGGTCTGCTAGAGGGGCCTGCCTAGAAATGGGCTACCTCTACAGCAAGTGCTCAGAGCCAGACTTTGGAGGACTGGGCATTGGCACTGGGGGCTGACAAACTTCTGCAGGCCCTGGAGGACAGGTTTGCAGACAAGGAACGTGCCCGTAAGGCTGCTGACAAGATCGTACGCCTTGGACAGCAGCGTTACAGCGGCAGTCTGCATGCCCTTTTCGCTGAATTTGAGCAGCTCACCTCCACCTCTGGATTGGTTATGTCTGCTGATGATCTGCTGACTAGCTTTTGCAGGGCTGCGCCTGAGAAGTTCTCAGTCGCTTTGTATAGCGCCGGGCATAAAGACTGGCGCTCATTTGGACGTGCAGCACTGGACATGGAGGCCAAGCTCCATGTTCAGGCCCCCTCCAGTGACAGGAGCTGAAAGTGGTGGTCCCTGTTAACCACTTGTGATACTTTGGACCAGGTTTAGTTCTGACAGCTGTCAGAGTGCTTTGGCCTCCCTGCATGTGTGTGTGTGTGTGTGTGTGTGTGTGTGTGTGTGTGTGTGTGTGTGTGTGTTTGTTTTCAGAATCAAAGCAGATTTTGTCCTATTGCAGACCATTGAGAGGACTTGACTTGAGTTCAGACAGTCAACAGTTGAGCAATTTTACAATTAGACAGTTTTGTTATGATCATGGGCAAAGCCAAAGTGCAAATACACAAGGAAATACAAGGCCGTCCAATTGCGAAAAGAAGTGAATGAACTTGAGAGGTAGCCATGAATCCCATCTTCCTCTTCTGACAAGGACTGGCTATGGCGGACATCAGGGACCAAACCCCGAGGTTAGAAAGACAACCCAGAAGCAGCTATGGCCGCTGCCCCTCAGGCCGCCATGCCTGATTCGGCCTCGAAGCCTCCTTGTAGCAATGCACCCTAACTAGGGCCTTCCAGCAGTAGCACCAACCAAGAAGATGAAGATGTTGACCTCCATAGCCAGGTAGGTACCTCGCCACTCTCCTCCTTCCCCCCTTCTTCCTCCTCCTCCTACCGGGGATGCTCCACCATAGCCAAGGTGAGAGCTCACACCGCACATGAGGAAGAGCAAAACACACTTCCTGGATATAGCGGACAACCTGCCTCTTGGGCGGTGACTTCCAGGGCGAGCGGCCTCCCAAGCAACCGGTACCGTTCCTCCTTTCAGAGGGAAACATCATTGCAGGTCTGATATCGTCTGCTATAGGTCCTAGACTCAGACTTCTGGACCTACCGGACTCCTAAAATTCACGCGGCCTCTAAAGGTACTAACATTTTGTCTTCGCGGCCACAGGTAAGTACCGGCCCCGCGGGCCTCCATATCCCCGCCGCAACCGTCAAAGTCACGGCCACAGGTAAGTACCGCGCCTCCCAAACAAACGAGTGCCCTGGCAGCCCACACACACACACAGGCCGACAAGCACTCAGATAGGCACACGGACCAGGAAGCACGCACACACACAGACTTGAAAAAATCAGAAGAACGCGGGAATCTCAGCAAGGCATACATTCCAGCGGCAAAACTCAGAAGTCAGCAGTGTTCTCAGTCTGTGATTTTGCCGGTTGTTACAGTTTTTTGGTTATCCTCGGGGTACCCCTTCCATATGTTCTTGCAGCTCCCCTACTGTGTGTCGCACGTACAAGGCTGCCCACGTTGATTGTGGTTGAGCGGCGGCTGCCCAGCTGCCCACGTTGATTGTGGTTGAGTGGCAGCTGCCCACATCCCCGTGTGCCTTAACGGCCCACTTCCATGTTATGTCAGGGTGCTGTACATGAGTGCAGTACTGACTGTCATCATACGAACGGAAACAAAAAATTGCATGGGCTATCCCTTCATAATCCTCGAGGCACAATGCATGCGGACCACATGCCGGCCGGGTCTCAGGCAGATCATCACAGAGAGGCATTGAGCAGGTTTCACGAGTTTCCAAAGTATTTATTCCCTCTTTATGGGCAGACGGCAACGGGGATTGATTTGAAGCCAGGTGTTGTACTGTAGTCATCTGGGCAGAGATAGCTGGTTCACCCAGTAGTACTCAGGTAGTATTGAGGTAGTTCTGCGGAAACAGGTAGTCAACGCGCTGCGCGCAGTTAGCATTCCTCTACAGCGCTGGACACGAGATTAGGAGTTTGAGCACTGCAGTTGAGCTGCAGGGGGGGG